ATATTATGAGATTTTTTTTTAAATATATAAATTTTGAAATGACTTTATAGTGAAAAATAAAAATTCTTTTAAATCAACATTCACTGTTCGTAAAGAAGTTTTAAGAAGAAAAAAATCCAAAAAAAAAAGAAAGAAATACTTGAATAATAGTTTTAAAGCTGTGATTTATAAAATTTCGACTCTCGTATTCTCTTTTAAATTGTATCAAGTCCAGTATTTCGTTTTAAACATTTTTCAAAGACCTCGTGTAAAGTTTTGACACGAAGAAAACTTTGAAACTTTCTCGTGGCATTTATATATATATATATATAAGTCATAGAAAACTTTCTCTTTATTTGCGAGCAAATCTTTTGGAATGCTTAACTTTTGATTTTGAAAATGAAAATTACTCATACTTTAAACAATAATATTATTTTCGATATAATTCTGCAAATTATTATTATTATTACTAATCTTTTTTTTAGTTTATAAATAGCTTACAATACTATATTCTCAATTTGTCACTTAAGGCAAGTTCGACACATTGACATAACCTCAAATAAAATTATATAATAAAATAAATTTAATATATATTGATAATAAATAAAAATATAATTAAAAACAAATTTTTTCTTTGACATAAAAAATATTTCTTGGTAAATAATAATTATTTAAACATTTTGTATTTTTTTTTTGTTTATAGTTATTGGAAAATTGTAATTTTTTTATTCAATTGTTACAAACAAAAGCTCAGTTTTCTCTTTTAATGATTCTCTGGAATTCCGCTTGTTGATTTTTTTTTAAAATAATATTTTCTTTAAAAAATATAGGTAAAACATGAAAAAATTTTTTGTTTAATAATTTTTTAACAAAATATTGTTAATAAAATGAAAATTCAAAAAATAAAATTGCAAAGAATCTTTTAAAGAACAATACCACCTATTGTTTGTAAAAATTGGATGAAAATTATAATTTTCTACTAACTTTAAATAAAAAATACAAAAAGTTAAATAATTATTACTTAACAACAAATTTTCAGTCAACATTTTTTTTTTTTTTTTTAGAAAATTATACAACTAAATTTTTTTTATTAAATTTTAATTAAATCAATTTTAATTGAAGTTTTAAAAAATTATTAAAATTTGTAGGGAAAATTTTTATTATTTCCCGCGAAAAGAATATTTTGTTTTTTTCAAATCGTTAGTCATAAATGTTGGAAATTTCAACTATGTAAATTTTTTATGTATGATAGCTTCAGTTTTAAAATTAGTACTAAAAAAAATTAATTTTCGTTTTGAGTTATTAATATTTAATAATATTAAAGATAAAATATTTTATTTTCGATATAAAAATTTTGAAATTCAGGACACTTTATAATATTCAAATTTATAAATTATTATTAAGAGCATTTGAACCTTCGTGACGTCACGAATCATGGCGCTTAACACGCAAACTTCTCAGGTGTGTGAAAAGCACAATTTTGAATATTTTTTAAAAAAACCTTTTGGAAAATGTTCAGAATAACATAGAGTTTGTCTGTTATGTGCGGGAAATTAAAAATTTTGCGTTTAAAACGTTTTTTAAACAATGTTAAAGTTGCTTGTAAGAGGTAAGGAAAAATGCACGAATTGCCTATATATAGGCGTTTCTTTGGAAAACCCCGGATAAGAATTGTAAAGTTCTTATCTAATTTATTAAATACTTAAATTGATTTTATTATAATTAATAACTAAAATTATTTATTACTAATTAAACAATAAATTGTTGTTGTTTATTAATTTTTTTTCAAAATGTACATATAAAAATGAAGTTTTTCCTAATTTTGAAATTTGACAATTTAAAAATTGTGAAACGTAATGTTTAAAAATTGATTAATTTTTCAATTTTTTAAATAAATAATTATTGTTATTTCGTATTTTTTTCAAACAAAATAGCAGTTTTTTTTCTAATTTTCATAGTTAGAAAATTGAAAATTGTAGAAAATAATGTTTGAAAATTGAATTATTTTTCAATTTTTTAAAAAAATAATTATTGTTTTTTACCTATTTTTTTCAAAAAAATTTCAAAAAATGCATTTTTTTTCTACTTTTTATAGTTGGAAAATTCAAAATTGTACAAAATAATGTTTGAAAATTGAATTATTTTTCAATTTTTTAAAAAAATAATTATTGTTTTTTACGTATTTTTTAAAAAAAAACTTCAAAAAAATAAATTTTTTTTCTAATTTTCCTAGTTTGTTATTGTTTTTTAAATATTTTTTTTAAAAAATTCCTAAAAAATTAAGTTTTTTTCTATTTTTCAAATTTGACAATTTAAAAATTGTAAAACATATATTATACATATTAAATTATTTTATAAAATTTTTTTAAACAATTAATTGTTATTATTTGTGTAATTTTTTTCAAAATACCACATATAAAAATGCATTTTTTTCCTAACTTTAGAAAAATTATTGTTCTCATTGTAAAAAAAAGATTAACAATCAAATTATTTATTAATTTTTTAAAAAATTATTTTTCTCTTTTATCAACTTTCTCAAAACGCGTAAATAAAAACGAAGCTATTTCTCTAATTTGTCATATTGCTGTTCTCAATGTTGTAAAAAATAAAGGCTAAAAATTTATTTCTCTTTCAATAATTTTATGAACAATAAATAGTTGTTATTTATGTACTTTTATAAAAAAGTAATAAATAAATGAAAAAGCTTAAAAATCAAACTATTTTTTTGAATTTTTATATAAATAATTATTGTTTTTTATGTACTTCTTTCAAAAAGCATATATATAAAGATATATTTTTTTTATAATTTTTTAAATTGCTGATCTTCTTGTTGTAATAAAAGGGTTAAAAATCAAATTATTTTACAAGAATTTTTTAAACCAAAAATTGTTGTTAATTGCTTTTTTCATAATAGATTATGTTATAATTCAATAAAATAAAATAAGATTCAAATAAACTTATTTATTACATTATATATTACATTATTTAAAAACTAGCAAAATTAAACGCGCGCAAGCGCGCCAAATTGAGTATTTAATTGTTAGTTATAAGGAAATTAAAAATTAATATTATCAATAATAATTTAAATTTATTGGAATATTATTCCATATTAAATGATAATAATGAAAATTATATGTTTACAGGCCTCGGATTATACGACTTTTTCCGCCTTTTTTTCAAAAATACGACTTTTATCGACTTATTTTAATAAAATTCAACTTTTTCGACTTTTTTTTATTTAAAAAAAAAAATTTTTAATAAAATACATTTTTTTAGTATAAAATGTAGATCTTCTTCAGATCTTCTTCAATTCAATTATTATTTTATAAATTTTGAACTAAAATGATTCTTAACTAAATTAATTATTTTAAATAATTTTAATAAAATTCATTACAAATTCAAAATTATTTTAAAATTATTCTTCAATTAAAATTTTTATGGAATTTAACAATTGTTTATAATTTTAAAAAAATATCACAATAAAATTGAATTATTTTCAAAAATTTCAATTCAAAATCAACTGAAATTTAAATATTATCAAAAATTTCAATTTAAAATCAATTAAAATTCAATTATTTTTAAAAAATTTTAATTAAAAATAAAAAAAATTCAATTATTTTCAAAATTTTCAATTAAAAATAAAAAAAATTTAATTATTTTTAAATATTTCAATTCAAAATCAACAAAAATTCAATTATTATAAAAAATTTCAAATCAAAATCAATTAAAATTCAATAATTATCAAAAATTTCAATTAAATATTAATTATTGTCAAAATTTTCAATCAAAAATCAATAAATTCAATTATTATCCAAAATTTCCATTCAAAATCAACTAAAATTAAATTATTATCAAAATTTTCAATTCAAAATCAAAGAAAATTGAATTATTTTCAAAATTTTAAATTCAAAATCTTTTAAAATTCAATTATTTTTCAAATTTTCAATTTAAAATCAAATAAAATTCAATTAATACTCAAAATTTCAATTCAAAATCTTTTAAAATTCACTTATTTTCCCAATTTCCAATTTAAATTCAAATAAAATTCAATTATTTTCTAAAATTTCATTTCAAAATTAATTATCAAAAATTAACTGAAATTGATTTATTATCCAAAATTGTAATTAAAATTTAATTATTATCCAAAATTTCAAATCAAAATCAATTAAAATTGAATAATTATCAAAAATTTTAATTAAAAATTAATTATTATCAAAATTTTCAATCAAAAATCAATAAATTCAATTATTATCTAAAATTTCAATTCAAAATCAATTATAATTCAATTATTTTCCAAATTTTCAATTCAAAAAAAAAAATACAATTATTTTCAGAAATTTCAATTCAAAACTAATTATTATTATTATTATTATCCAAAATTTCAATCAAAAATCAATTATTTTCCAAAATTTCGATCAAAATTAATTATTTTTAAAATTTTCAATCAACAATCAACTAAAATTGAATTATTATCCAAAATTTCAATTCAAAATCCAAGAAAATTCCATTATTTTCAAAATTATCAATTCAAAATCAACTAAAATTCAATTATTTTCCAAATTTAAAATCAAATAAAATTTAATTATTTTCTAAAATTTCAATTCAAAATTAATTATCAAAATTTTCAATCAAAAATCAACTAAAAATGGATTATTATCCTAAATTTTAATAGAAATTTAATTATTTCCCGAAATTTCAAATTAAAATCAAAGAAAATTTCATTATTCTCAAAAATTTTAATTCCAAATTAATTGAATTTTCAATAATTTGAATTTAAAAGCATCTAAAATTTAATTGTTTCTAAAATTTTCCATCGAAAATGTTTTGAAATTTAATAATTTCAATTATAACTCTAAGGAAATTCAATTAATTTTAACTATTTTTATAATATTCATATCAAAATTTGATTCAAATTTGACACGTCATAACATTACAATTCAAAAAACACGTGAAATCAGTAAAGACTAACTTCAAGTTAGGACAGAAGGACAGACCAATCATTTTATTATAATATAATAATGTTATTGGAAAGCATTTAAAAAATTTTTATTATAATTTTTTAATGCTATTTTACAAATGAAGCATTTAAATTGAAAATTTTTAAAATTATTTTTTAAAACTGAAATTTTTTTTCTTATTATAATTTTTAACAAAATTTTTTTGTTTAAAATTTATATTTTTAATTAAAAATTTTTTTTTATTTATCGACGATTATTATAACGATCGTCCCGTCTTACAGAGGAATTATCTCTATAACGATCATATCTTCTATATTCTCGATCGTCATAACGATCGTTTCTCTGATTAACGTTGCGATCGTTATATCGTTCGTTTCTGTGATTTCTTGGATACGTATGACGATTGTCATAAGGATAATAATTCTGATCGTAATATTGATCGTTATGACGACGAGAGTCATAACGATCATACCGTCGATCTCCGAATCTTCCATGACAATCGTCATACACAGTGTACCTTTCATCACTTCTTCGAACGTTATAACGATCGCTTTCCCGATCGTTATAATAATCGTCCTTATTAACTTTAAAAGTATGTTTTTTTTTTTTTAAATCTGGCACATCTCTATCTTCTTCTTCTTCTCCTTCTTCTTCTTCCTCCAATTCTTCTTCGTTCTCTTCTTCTTCATTCTCTCTTCTTTTATTTTCTTCCTTTTCTTCTTTCCTTCTTTTTTTATTTTCTTCTTCTTCTTTTTTCTTTTTTTCGTCAATCTCTTTTTCTCCAAAGTAAGCATTTAATGCTAATACTGTTGCATTTGCAACAATTTTTGTTAAAATCTGAAAAGTTTTTAAAAAATTTTATTTAATAATAAGATTATAAATTCTTATTATTATTTTGCACATTATGATTTAAAAAAAAATTTAATAAATAATAAAAATAAATAATTAAATATTACCGAATTTTTCTCGTCCAGTGTATTTGGCGGCAGCCGTAAAGGTGGGGCAACAGTAGTACCCCGTCCTCGTCCACCTCTGGTACGGATACCACCTCTTTGAACCGTGACGGCTTTTGAAAAAAATAATATTTACAATTTGTTATACCACACATATCCGAAATAGTCATTAGACAGGAAGATAAATTGTGGATATAAACTTTAATAAAAATTCCATAATTTTCATTCTACTTTTTTAATAATTTTTTAGCTACAATACATCAAAACTTAAAAAATGGGCTCAAGGTTTGATCATGGCTTGACTCTGATTTAAGACTTGAGCCATGCACCAAAGTTTAAGGAACATGTGGTTTTTTTCCGATATGAAATATCATACAGAACATGATTTGTTTTTAACTTTTATAAATAAACAATTTTTTTTTTTTACTAAAATGCAATATTTTTATTTAAAAAAAAATTCACGTATACTTTATTTCAAGACAAATAAAATGATACTTGAACGATCAAAATCGATCAATAAGATTTTGAGATATTAATTTTTTAATAAAAACCCTTTAAATTTTTTAATTTTTAATAAAATTAACAAAAAATTTTTCCATCGAAATCTTTCAGTATGGCAATTTTTTATATAAAACACTATAAAAACCACATTATAACGAAAAAGAAAGTAAAAAGGTTTTGGGTGGCTCCTTTCAGAAATGATGACTCAAATATTTCTTAAAAAATCATCTGCCATATTGGATCCGTAATTTTGAATTTTTAAAATATGATATTGAATTTATAATTTACGACTTTAAAAACTCAGAAACCTATTTTAAAAAAATTTCAAATATTTGTTATAAATTCGTTGGCCATATTGGAGTAGCCATTTTGAATTTCTTGATACATATTAAAAATCAAAATAATTTTTTTAAATTTGTTCCCCATATTTTATTAGTCATTTTGAATTTTGGAAATCTGATACCACATAAGTATTCAAGAACATTAAAAATTCAGATACCTAATTTTAAAAAATTGAATTTTTTAACAGAATGCGTTAGTAATATTGCGTTTGTCATTTTAAATTTTGGAAATTTGACATTAAATTCGTATTTTGCGACTTTAAAAACCTATAATTGCATTTCATTTTTTTTTAATTTGACTTTAATTTCGTAATCAGTGTCCTAATATAAAAAAGTAGAATTTAATTGAATTTATTCTTATTATTATTAAGTGATAATTATTTTGTATCGATAACAAATTTGTGAATAAGTCGTAAACAAAAGAGAACTTGAAAAAATTTCAAAGTCAAATCCTTCAAGAGCCTCTTTACAACGTAAACTTACAAACATCAAAAAATAAAGTAATTTCATACAGAATATAAGACACTAGTGACTTTGAAATTGTATTTACCTTATTTTTGAATAAATTTTAAATTTGTTTGATTGCTTTTATGGAAAAAATATAAATTTAATTAATTCATTTTAATTAAAAAAAATTAAGTAATAAATTATCATTATTTATTTTTTATATTTAAATTAATTAATTATTTAATTTTTTTTCCCTAAAAAAAATCATTAAACAAATTCAAAATTTAATAAAGAATATAGGAAAATAAGTTGATTATTACTTGTGTCTCATCTATGCGTTATAAAGTGATTGTAGAAGAATTATTTATTGATTAATTATTTATTAAGTTACCTATTTTTAAATTTTACATAGAAATAAAATAATTATTATTTAATAATAATAATATTATTACATAGTATAATTATAAATTAGATAGTAAAATGTATAATATTCTACTTACTTTTAACTCGACCCATTATTTTCTAATTTGTTGAACAAGTTTTAAAATGATTTGTTAAAAACACAATTTTTAAAACAATTTTTGTACAAAAAAGACAGTTTTTAAAACAGATATTTAAAAACACATACAAAAAACACATACAAAAAACACAATTTTTAAAATTGTAAAAAAATTAAAAAAAGATAAAGGAAGCGTTATATCATTCGAAGAATGTCGAGATGTACTGCTTGTGGAAATTATATTCCTTTTCGAATATGTTCCGATTTCTGCTTCTCCTGGTGATAAGGGCATCTTTGAAAAAGTACAAGGTTATATTAAAGTTTTCTAATTGGTTATAACTCATAGAAAATGACAATATCTATACGAGAAAGTTATTTATCAAGACAAGACAGCGAAAACACCAAGGCGAAAGGGCAAGTTCTCATCGGATGTTGGAAGTTAAGCAACGTTGGACGCGGTTAGTACTTGGATGGGTGACCACTTGCATTTTTTTCTATCATTTTTTCTATTATTTTCCTATCATTCTTTCTATTATTTTCTTATCATTTTTTCTATTATTTTATAAATAATTTTTCTATCATTTCTCTATCGTCACGAAAAAATGGTAAAAACCGCTGACAAGTTGAAGTATGAATTTATTTATAATGAGAAATTTATAAATTATTTATTAAGTTACCTATTTTTAAATTGTACATAGAAATAAAAAAATTAGTATTTAATAATAATAATATTATTAATAATATTTTTATAATCAAAGTTGGTATAGTTTTACGAATACCTTTAACTGAAAACATTTTACGAAAACTGAAACTATTATTTCTTAATTCAAATCTACAATTTTCGAATATTTAAAAACTGTAGGAAAAAACAGTCTAGCACTTTTTTATTTACTAAATTTATACGAAAAATAAGAACCAACATTTCGTAATTATCTAAAACTATACGAAAAAGCAGGAGCCGTGAAAAAAAGAAGAACGTCGGAACCACCAATGTATCTTTTCTCAGGTTTTCTCTCCTTTTCTATTCGAGGATAGTGGGGGTCTTTCTTAATACACACACATAACTGGTACGCTTTGATTGGATTTAAATTATTCTTAACACATCCTAACTACAATAAAAATAATTATTTATTAAGAAATAATAAAATATTTTATTACCTTTCCAAGAACAATTTTAATCATAAAATTATTTAATTCAATTATAGAAGCAAACTTATAACAAATATTCTATAATTATATTTAGAAAAGTAAATATAGAATAATTAAAAACAATTATTTATCAAAACTTTTTCTAGTCTATATAGCAGAAATAAAAATTATTTAAAAATTATGAGCAAACAAATGAAGTATTTTATTATTAAATATTAATTAAAATTATTTTTAATTCATATTGCAGTATTAAAAATTATTTTAAAATCAGGATGTCCAGCAAGGCTTAAAGAAAAAAATTCCCTGAATTTTCTCTGACATTTTTTTTTCATGACTACTCGTAGGTGATCGGTCAAACCCGATCGGACTTACTCGCTTAACTTCGTCAAACTTAGGTGATATTTGATATTTTTCTATCATTTTTTGAAAGAAAAAGTTTCTATTTAATTAATATTATATGTAAATATAAGGATTTAACACCAATCCAATTTCTTATCGACTATATCAAAATATAAAATGATTATACCAGTTAATGGAATTCTAAATACAGAAAATGAAAATGAAAAAAAAAAATTTTCGGATATTGTTACTATGATTTTCGTAATCATTGTATCAAAATACATACAAGTACGTAGTATAAAAAATCGGACAAGTGCGAGTTATACTCGCACTGAAATCGAGGGTTTCGTACTCGAAGCGAACGTATTTGGTATAAAAACAAATGTTTAAAAATATGTGTTGTATGTTAAATAATATATGTGATAAAAAAAGGAACAATTTTTTTAAAAAAATTTAAGAAAATTATTCCTCCTTTGGTATAAAAACAAAAAAATTTAAATATGTGTTGTATTTCAAATAATATAAGTGATACAAAAAGGAACAATTCCAACATAACACAACTTCTTGCTGTGAGGTTACTATAAGGATGTCTGTAGGGTTTGTAAGGTTACCGTGTAAGCCTACAGTAAACTTTAGGTTAACTTAAAACTTCCTCCTTACAGTAAGCTTACACAGTAATGTCGTGGTAAGCTTACACGGTAAGGTTGTTGTAAGCTTCCCGTAAGGTTCCTGTAAGCTTGTTATAAGGTTACTGTGAACATAAAATGTTATTAATAAATACATTTTATTAATATTTATGCGCAGTAGTTTTCTATGGCACATACGGCTGCGCAGTGAATTTTATTTAACAAACCCTACTGGGGCTCATGATGTACGTTACCAAATATATAATTTTCTATAAAAAAATGTATAATATAATATATATTATAATATAATTATTTGTAATATATTTTCATATTACTTTATGTATACAGTAACCTTACAGTAACCTTACGGGAAGCTTACAACAACCTTACCGTGTAAGCTTACCACGACCATAGCATGTAAGCTTACCACGACCTTACTGTGTAAGCTTAACTTAGCTTTACTGTGTGAGCTTACTGTAAGGCGGAAGTTTTAAGTTAACCTCCAGTTTACTGTAGGCTTATACGGTAACCTTACAAACCCTACAGATATCCTTATAGTATCCTCATAGCAAGAAGTTGTGCCTTAGATAAATATACTAGATGTGGCGAGGGTCTGTGGTGGGGACTCCCGATATATATAGCATACTAAATTTTCAGTGTGTGCTTATGCTGCCCTCTTCAACTTTTCGCCGTTTCGAAGGTTACGGCTTGGAAATAACATTTGAGCGATATAAGCAAGCATACTAGGCTAGAATTCTATTTCTCACTGTAATACTATTTTTCTTTTTTGAAAATAATTTGTTCTGGTGAGAAACTAAAAACTAATAAAATAAATTTTTTTAATTAAAATAAATTATTTAATTAAAATACCTAAATTATCTAATTAAAATAAATTTTTTTAATTAAAATAAATTATTTAATTAAAATAAAATAAAATAATTAAAAAATTATATTAATTTAAAATAAATAAATTTTTTAATTTATTTAAAATTATTTTTGATTAAAATAAATTTCAATTTTTAAAATTTTAATTAAATTTTAATTTGCATAAGAAAAAATGTTTAAAACTTAAAATCGATGAATATGTGCAGAAAATAAAAAAATTAGAAAAATTGTTATAAATAATAAAAATAAACTTTTTGCTTCCTCGTGGAGGAAGCTTTGTAGTCCTTTCGTTTATAAAAATTTTCAAAGTGGCAGAAACAAATTTTTCTTTATATAGAAACATGTTATATGAGATCCTGATCAATTGTCCGGATGTATGTGTGTGTGTGTGTGGATCCCTTTTTTGTTTAGAAGATAACTTTAACAGGTTTTAATGGATTTAGATAAAATTTGGTAGACTTATTTATCATATTAATATCTCAAATCTGACCAAAGGATTTTAAAAAATATCTAAAAAAAATTGTATCGTCTTTTTTCTAAAAATTTTTTTTTAATCGAAAAAATTTTTAAATGCAAAAATTTAAGGTTTTATATAATAAAATCGTATTCCTTACGTCAAGACAAATCGATTGGTATATATAAAGTATAGTTTTAATTTAAGTTTAAAGAATTAATGAAAGTTAAAAAATCAAAAATTCACATTTTGGCTATAAAATTTTGTGATTATTTAAATTTAAGTTTATAGATGAAATAATTGTATTCCTTGCATGAAAACCAGTCGATTAGTATATATAAAGTTTACATTTGAGGTAAATTTAATAAATTAATGAAATTTAAAAAATAAAAAATTCACATTTTAGCTGAAAATTTGTGTATTTATTTAAATTCAAGTTTAAATATAAAATAATTGTGTTCCTTGCATTGAAACAAATCGATATAAGTGTAAATAATTATAAATTATATATTATTTTTCATTAATTTTTAGAAATATCAGCTAAAATGTGAATTTTTGGTTTTTTAACTTCCATTAATTCTTTTAATTTAACTCAAATGTATATGTATACTCAAATGTTTATATTATTATATTATTTATGTATGTTTATTTCAATGTTAATGCTCTCTCCACGAGGAAGCAAATTGTTTTGCTGATCGTAAAGAGGAAGCAAAATGTTCATGTAATGAACAGCTGAATTTACAACTTGTTTTCTTATGCTTTTCTACTGAAAGAAAGAAATAATTAATTGAAGTAATTTCATCAATGAACACAAATTGTATTAATTTCTTTTTAAAAATATTTCTCAACTTTTCTGTAATTTTGCCAAAATTTTGACTGCTAATAATTTTTTCCCAGCTATGTGTAAAAAAGAATATATAAATCATTTATTCAATTAATTTTTAATAAATAAATAAATTAATAAATTAATTTTTACTAAAAATAATGTTTAAAAATATAATATGAATAAAATTTTAAAACTTTATTTCAAAACAAGAAGAAGAGTAAAAGAAAAAAATTTTAATACTTCAGCAAAAATCTACAGCAGGTCCAGTATTGTCGCAATACCGGCACATTACTGGAATAATAACGCTTTTCAGAACTAGTTTGTCCTTACTGGCCCATTACTGGCGACTTACCTGTACAATACTGGCATACTAGTCCTGATATTGCAATTTTGAGATTATACACAATTATTATGACACCAGTAATGAACTGGTGCCAGAGATCCCATATTTTTGCTTAGATAAAGTCTTATCGAAAAATTCAATCCTTTATAGTGAAGAAAATTGAATTTTTTAAAAATACCAAATTTGTAAGTTAGTTTTACAAAATCCCCATTTGAAAAATTGTCGCAGAGTGATTCCGCGAAAATTCCGCAAAAATATTTTTTTGGAGTGCATTTTAGTTGATAAAATTTTTTTTGAGAAAAAAGATTTTGTTGGGGCGAAAAATTTACTTGCAAAAAAAAAAATTTTTTATGCTGAATTTTAGTTAAAAAATTTTAATATGAAATGAAATATCTGTAATTTCCCAATGATAAATAATAATTATTATTGTAAAATAATAAATTATTATAATTATTAATTATAATTATTATTAATATTTAATTAATATTTATATTAATATTTAATTAATATGTATATTTATTTATTAATATTCATTTAATGATAATATTAAATTTATGTAACCTGAAATAAAATTAATACTTATTTCAATTTTATCGCACATTTCAGTTTACGATAAAATGAAAAATTTCATTAATTTTATTTTTATATCTATTTAAGAAACCAATCAAATTTTTAAACGATTATATTTAATTATAATTTTAAATATACAGAAAATTTATATAGTTTCCCCAATGTATTTAATTTTTACCGCCTTTGATCGACCGAAAATTGCCGAAGCATTCCGATTATTAAGAGGCACACGAAGGGCACATACTCGTCGCAGCGCCGCCCTAGATTCATGTGCCCAAACTAACGCCTCGCCGCATCTAGTATATTTATCTAAGACGGAACCCTCGATTTCAGTGCGAGTGTAACTCGCACTTGTCCGATTTTATTTTATAAAAAATATTTTACTAAAAAAATATAAGAAACATAATTTTATTTCAACTCGCAATATTTTTATTGTATTTACATTTTGCGTTTTAATTGAATTTTAATTATTTAAATCACTTAAATGAGTTAAAGAAATTTATTGCTTTCTCCGCGAGGAACCCAAATTTTTATAAAATGAACATAAAGAACCCCCTATTTTATTTTAGAGTTATAACGACTGAAGAAATAAACTTAAGCAAAAAGTCCACTGTTTCCACTTCTTATCATGTTTATTAAATTATTTCTATAATCTACACATAAAAATACGTGAAAATAGTACATTTGAAGCCCTATAGATAAAATTTTTTTAGTTATTGGGAGAAAATTCATGATTTTTTCTAAAATTATCAGTTTTTTCTTGACAGTCCCAGAAAAATCAACTCCAATCATCCTCGCTATATATTTTTTGTAATCTACACGTAAAAATATGTCAAAATATATAAATTTGAATCACTTTAGATAATCTTTTTTCGTTTTTTGCGGAAAAATACATTTTTTTCATAAATTTATCATTTTTCTTAAAAAATTTGATAAAAATTGATCAGCAACTTCAATCGCGCTTACATTTTTTCCCTGTATTTTTCACGCAAAAATACAGTTTTACAGCAAATATGAACAGTTTGGGTTGAATATTATGTGCGCTAGGGAAAATAAATCATTTTTTTCGAAATTTTTTATTTTTCCTTGACAACGCTATGATAATCAACTCCAATCTTGCTCGCTATATTTCTTTTGTAATCTACACGTAAAAATACGTTAAAATATATAAATTTAAATCCCTTTAAATAAAATTTTGTTCGTTTTTGTTGAAAAAATACATTTTTTTCCTAAAATTGTCATTTTTTCTTGAAAAACTTGATAAAAAGTTAATCATTAACTCTAAACGTGATCGCTTTTTTTCCCCTGTATTTTTCCCGTAAAAATACATTTGTATACTAAATATGAACTGTCTGGGTTGAATATTGTGTGCGCTAGGGAGAAAAAGTCATTTTTTTCGAAATTTTTGATTTTTCCTTGACAACGCTATGTAAATTGATCTGAATCAAGTTCGATATATTTTTCCTGTAATTTTCACGTTAAAATACGTAAGTGTGCCAAATTTGAGCTCTTTATGTCAAAAGATGTGGCTGCTAGAGGGGGGTACATAGTCATTTTTAGGCATTTTTCGTAAAAATTCATTGTTTTTCCTTGACAACGCTATGATAATCAATTCCTATCAGGTTCGCTATATTTTTCCTGTAATCTACACGCGAAATATGTGTACCAAATTTTAGCCCTCCAGATAAATTCGTGTGGCCACTAGGGGGGGGGGGTTCACGATTTCAAAAAAACCGATATTAATAGAACAAAAAAATTTTTTAAAATTAAAATATTCAGAATTTTTTGAAAAATTCCGAAAATATTGTAAAAATTGTTTGTCCATTATCGGGCTAGGCCTAAAAGTTTCATAAAGAGATGTAGTTTTTTTGAAAAAATTTTGAAAAAAATCAGTTTTTTTAAAAGTATCAAATTGAGACCAAAAATAGCATCAAATCTTTGCAACGTTTTGATGCACATAAGTTGTATCAAAAAGAGATCGTTTTGTGTATCATTTTTAGAAATGATACACGAAACGGTCTCATTTTTTGATGCAAAAAATTTAATCAATTTATATCAATCATGGCCGAATTGAATCGACTCAAAATTAAACGAATTTTTTTTAGATATTTTGGTAATAGTACAATTGCGGAGACCATTTTACTATTTAATTTGAAAATGAAAAAAAAGAAAATCAAAGACAATGTGCAATTCGATAATTAAATAGTGACAGCTTATAAACATAACCTAAAATACATGAAAAAAAATTTGTCGATAAAATCAATATAGCCGAGATTTTTAGAAGGTAGATGGCAGCACTCATCTTTTTTTTCTTTAAATTTTTTCTGAATCGTTTTTTTATAAAAAGCAAAATTCTTATATTTGCTAAACGGAAATACTGGTCAAAAAGATGTATTATGTTATCAAAAAAAGTAATATTGTAATCAATAATATTTGTTTACATAAGATATTAATTATTTTCAACAATATTTTTAATGAAAAAATTTATTTTTTCACAAATTTTTTTGATCAAAAAATAAATATTTTTCACCAATGTTTCCGTTCAAAATTAATATTTTTCACCTTTACTTTGATAAAAAAATTAATTTTTGTCACGATTATTTTTGATGAAAAGATTAATTTATTTCAGAAATATTTTTGATTAAAAAATTAATTTATTTCACCAATATTTTTAATTAACAAATTAATTTATTTCACCAATATTTTGGATTAAAAATTTTATTTATTTCACCAATATTTTTGATTAAAAAATTAAATTAAAAATTAAGATTTTATGCAAATATAAGAATTTTGCTTTTTATAAAAAAAAGATTCAGAAAAAATTTAAAGAAAAAAAAGATGAGTGCTGTCATCTACCTTCTAAAAATCTCGGCTATATTGATTTTATCGACAAATTTTTTTTCATGTATTTTAGGTTATGTTTATAAGCTGTCACTATTTAATTATCGAATTGCACATTGTCTTTGATTTTCTTTTTTTTCATTTTCAAATTAAATAGTAAAATGGTCTCCGCAATTGTACTATTACCAAAATATCTAAAAAAAATTCGTTTACTTTTGAGTCGATTCAATTCGGCCATGATTGATATAAGTTGATTAAATTTTTTGCATCAAAAAATGAGACCGTTTCGTGTATCATTTCTAAAAATGATACTCAAAACGATCTCTTTTTGATACAACTTATGTGCATCAAAATGTTGCAATAGAAAAAGATACAACCAAGTTTACTGTGATCGATTAGTACGTCAAATGAGGAAAATGCCTTTTTATCATTAAAACTAAAAAATTTGATAATAATATGATTAAAAAAATTCTTGATTTGTTTTCAAAAGTTGAGTTAAAATCACACAATTTAAAAAAAAAATTTTAATTGACGCATTTTTAATGTAGTTATGAGCATTCAAAAATTAAAATTCATAGAAAAAATTATAGAAAATAAGATAGGAAACTAATTGAAAAATGATAGGAAAATGATAGAAAAATAATAGAAAAAATCATTGAAAAAAGATAGGAAATTGATATAAAAATGATAGGAATATTATAGAAAAAATGATGAGAGAAAGACAGAAAAATAATTGAAAAAATGATTGGAAAATTATAGAAAACTAATAGAATAATGATAGGAAAATTAAAGAAAAAATAATTGGAAAATGATAGAAAAATAATAGAAAAAAAATAGGAATCTGATAGAAAAAATTATAGAAAACTGATAGAAAAATGACAGAAAAAATGATAGAAAATTATAGGAATATTATAGAAAAAATGATAGGAAAATGATCGAAAAATAATAGAAAAAATCATAGAAAAATAATAGAAAAAATTATGAAAAAAATGATAATATACTTCCTCCATTAGGAAGCAAAAAAGAAAAAAATTATAAAAAAACTGATGCAATATTTATAAGAGAAAGTTATTTATCAAGACAAGATAGCGAAAACACGAAGGCGAAAGAACAAGTCCCAGCGTGCTTTTCTTATGTTAAAGTTGTTTTTCTGTCTTCAAGGGAGATATTTCTTTTTGGGTCTTTTATGACGACGCGCAGGGGAAAAAATAGATCAGGAGAGGGTAACCGAGACGCTGATGCGCACACTGGGACCAGTCGAAAATGTGTCAGTTTTCCGTCGGATCAGCGCTGTGTTGAACGTGCACGGAAAGATTTTCTGAAAGATTCGTTCTGTTTATGAAAAAAGGTTACTTTTTACAAAAAACTTTTTTTCATAAATAAAGTACTCTTTGTGTTCTTAGTGAAATTAAATTCTTCGCAACTTTCACTGATATTGTTTATAAAAACAAAAGATCGGTTGTGTTGTGCGGGAAATATATTTCTTGTTTTTATGCGCTTTTGTGACTAAAATGAGTTTTAATCAAACTGAAGAAATGGACAACGGATTAAAATTACATCAGGACAGATCTAAAAAACGTCATACAGGTGTTTACCAAACGTCAGGACTCAGACTGTCTAAAAAAAAAGGACCAAAAGCTAGGTAAGTGTTTTAGATTAATATAAATATTTATAATTTTAGATCTCTAAAAATTTAAGTTAAATTTTTTTAATCAATAATTCCTTTAAAAATACATGCGATCGTGTAGTGTAGTGTTGACCTGTGTACATAGCATAGTTACAGTATTGCCAATTGCTGAAATTTTGCACCGGAATAATATCAAAACATAACCTCAATTATAGATGTATAACTCTTTTGTTCAAGAATAAGGCAGTCCAACTTGTGACATAGCGTGACGTCACTTTTCAAAATGGCGGCTTCTCGGAAGACATGCAAAGCATTGAAGTCAATGGAGTGAATCAGTTTTTTTAACATAACTTTTGAAAAATTAATTTTTGAACCCAAGTGTAATTGTAAAATATTTTTTATTTATCGAGATTTATTTTTTAAATTAATAAAATCAAAAAATTAATTTTTATTATTTTAAAAAATAGATCTCGATAAATAAAAAATATTTTACAATTACACTTGGTTTCAAAAATTAATTTTTCAAAAGTTATGTTAAAAAAACTGATTCGCTCCATTGACTTCAATGCATTGCATGTCTTCCGAGAAGCCGCCATTTTGAAAAGTGACGTCACGCTATGTCACAAGTTGGACTGCCTTATTGTTATAATTAACTGGTCCACCACAATTCTTGAACAGAGTAAATATATAATTGAGGTTATGGTTTGATATTATTCCTGTGCAAAATTTCAGCAATTGGCAATAATGTGGCATTTCTTATTGAATATTTTTAAATTCAATTGTTTGGGAATTATTATCAGTTTATTCTAAATTTATGCACTGGAAAAAAATAAAAATTCATGTTTTTGAAATTTTTTTTAAACAAAAATTTTCCGAAATTAAAATTTTTAAAAATCAAAAGTTGTGCTGAATTGTGCTACCTGAGTACAACGAAAAAGTCATAATAAACTTTTCCCTAAAATTAATATTTTCCATGGAAATTCATGTTTTTTGAAATTTTTTTTAAACAAAAATTTTCAAAAATGAAATTTTTAAAAAATCAAAAGTTGTGCTGAATTGTGCTACCTGAGTACAAAGAAAAAGTCTTAATAAACTTTTCCCTAAAATTAATATTTTCCATGGAAATTCATGTTTTTTGAAATTTTTTTTAAACAAAAATTTTCCGAAATGAAAATTTTCATAAATTTAAAGTTGTGCTGAATTGTGCTACCTGAGCACAACGAAAAAGTCTTAATAAACTTTTCCCTAAAATTAATATTTTCCATGGAAAATTATGTTTTTTAAAATTCTTTTTTAGCAATATATTTCAAAAATGAAAATTTTTAAAAATCAAAAGTTGTGTTGCATTATGCTACCTGAGCACAACGAAAAAGTCTTAATAAAATTTTCCCTAAAATTAATATTTTCCATGGAAATTCATGTTTTTAAAAATTTTTTTTAAACAAAAATTTTCAAAAATGAAAATTTTAAAAAATTAAAATTTGTGCTGAATTGTGCTACCTGAGTACAAAGAAAAAGTCTTAATAAACTTTTCCCAAAAATTAATATTTTCCATGGAAATTCATGTTTTTTGAAATTTTTTTTAAACAAAAATTTTCAAAAATGAAAATTTTAAAAAATTAAAAGTTGTGCTGAATTGTGCTACCAGAGCACAACGAAAAAGTCTTAATAAACTTTTCCCTAAAATTAATATTATCCATGGAAATTCATGTTTTTTGAAATTTTTTTTAAACAAAAATTTTCCGAAATGAAATTTTTAAAAAATCAAAAGTTGTGCTGAATTGTGCTACCTGAGTACAAAGAAAAAGTCTTAATAAACTTTTCCCTAAAATTAATATTTTCCATGGAAATTCATGTTTTTTGAAATTTTTTGTAAACAAAAATTTTCCGAAATGAAAATTTTTAAAAAATCAAAAGTTGTGCATTGAAGTCAATGGAGTGAATCAGTTTTTTTAACATAACTTTTGAAAAATTAATTTTTGAACCCAAGTGTAATTGTAAAATATTTTTTATTTATCGAGATTTATTTTTTAAATTAATAAAATCAAAAAATTAATTTTTATTATTTTAAAAAATAGATCTCGATAAATAAAAAATATTTTACAATTACACTTGGTTTCAAAAATTAATTTTTCAAAAGTTATGTTAAAAAAACTGATTCGCTCCATTGACTTCAATGCATTGCATGTCTTCCGAGAAGCCGCCATTTTGAAAAGTGACGTCACGCTATGTCACAAGTTGGACTGCCTTATTGTTATAATTAACTGGTCCACCACAATTCTTGAACAGAGTAAATATATAATTGAGGTTATGGTTTGATATTATTCCTGTGCAAAATTTCAGCAATTGGCAATAATGTGGCATTTCTTATTGAATATTTTTAAATTCAATTGTTTGGGAATTATTATCAGTTTATTCTAAATTTATGCACTGGAAAAAAATAAAAATTCATGTTTTTGAAATTTTTTTTAAACAAAAATTTTCCGAAATTAAAATTTTTAAAAATCAAAAGTTGTGCTGAATTGTGCTACCTGAGTACAACGAAAAAGTCATAATAAACTTTTCCCTAAAATTAATATTTTCCATGGAAATTCATGTTTTTTGAAATTTTTTTTAAACAAAAATTTTCAAAAATGAAATTTTTAAAAAATCAAAAGTTGTGCTGAATTGTGCTACCTGAGTACAAAGAAAAAGTCTTAATAAACTTTTCCCTAAAATTAATATTTTCCATGGAAATTCATGTTTTTTGAAATTTTTTTTAAACAAAAATTTTCCGAAATGAAAATTTTCATAAATTTAAAGTTGTGCTGAATTGTGCTACCTGAGCACAACGAAAAAGTCTTAATAAACTTTTCCCTAAAATTAATATTTTCCATGGAAAATTATGTTTTTTAAAATTCTTTTTTAGCAATATATTTCAAAAATGAAAATTTTTAAAAATCAAAAGTTGTGTTGCATTATGCTACCTGAGCACAACGAAAAAGTCTTAATAAAATTTTCCCTAAAATTAATATTTTCCATGGAAATTCATGTTTTTAAAAATTTTTTTTAAACAAAAATTTTCAAAAATGAAAATTTTAAAAAATTAAAATTTGTGCTGAATTGTGCTACCTGAGTACAAAGAAAAAGTCTTAATAAACTTTTCCCAAAAATTAATATTTTCCATGGAAATTCATGTTTTTTGAAATTTTTTTTAAACAAAAATTTTCAAAAATGAAAATTTTAAAAAATTAAAAGTTGTGCTGAATTGTGCTACCAGAGCACAACGAAAAAGTCTTAATAAACTTTTCCCTAAAATTAATATTATCCATGGAAATTCATGTTTTTTGAAATTTTTTTTAAACAAAAATTTTCCGAAATGAAATTTTTAAAAAATCAAAAGTTGTGCTGAATTGTGCTACCTGAGTACAAAGAAAAAGTCTTAATAAACTTTTCCCTAAAATTAATATTTTCCATGGAAATTCATGTTTTTTGAAATTTTTTGTAAACAAAAATTTTCCGAAATGAAAATTTTTAAAAAATCAAAAGTTGTGCATTGAAGTCAATGGAGTGAATCAGTTTTTTTAACATAACTTTTGAAAAATTAATTTTTGAACCCAAGTGTAATTGTAAAATATTTTTTATTTATCGAGATTTATTTTTTAAATTAATAAAATCAAAAAATTAATTTTTATTATTTTAAAAAATAGATCTCGATAAATAAAAAATATTTTACAATTACACTTGGTTACAAAAATTAATTTTTCAAAAGTTATGTTAAAAAAACTGATTCGCTCCATTGACTTCAATGCATTGCATGTCTTCCGAGAAGCCGCCATTTTGAAAAGTGACGTCACGCTATGTCACAAGTTGGACTGCCTTATTGTTATAATTAACTGGTCCACCACAATTCTTGAACAGAGTAAATATATAATTGAGGTTATGGTTTGATATTATTCCTGTGCAAAATTTCAGCAATTGGCAATAATGTGGCATTTCTTATTGAATATTTTTAAATTCAATTGTTTGGGAATTATTATCAGTTTATTCTAAATTTATGCACTGGAAAAAAATAAAAATTCATGTTTTTGAAATTTTTTTTAAACAAAAATTTTCCGAAATTAAAATTTTTAAAAATCAAAAGTTGTGCTGAATTGTGCTACCTGAGTACAACGAAAAAGTCATAATAAACTTTTCCCTAAAATTAATATTTTCCATGGAAATTCATGTTTTTTGAAATTTTTTTTAAACAAAAATTTTCAAAAATGAAATTTTTAAAAAATCAAAAGTTGTGCTGAATTGTGCTACCTGAGTACAAAGAAAAAGTCTTAATAAACTTTTCCCTAAAATTAATATTTTCCATGGAAATTCATGTTTTTTGAAATTTTTTTTAAACAAAAATTTTCCGAAATGAAAATTTTCATAAATTTAAAGTTGTGCTGAATTGTGCTACCTGAGCACAACGAAAAAGTCTTAATAAACTTTTCCCTAAAATTAATATTTTCCATGGAAAATTATGTTTTTTAAAATTCTTTTTTAGCAATATATTTCAAAAATGAAAATTTTTAAAAATCAAAAGTTGTGTTGCATTATGCTACCTGAGCACAACGAAAAAGTCTTAATAAACTTTTCCCTAAAATTAATATTTTTCATGGAAATTCATGTTTTTTGAAATTTTTTGTAAACAAAAATTTTCCGAAATGAAAATTTTTAAAAAATCAAAAGTTGTGCTGAATTGTGCTACCTGAGTACAACGAAAAAGTCATAATAAACTTTTCCCTAAAATTAATATTTTCCATGGAAATTCATGTTTTTTGAAATTTTTCTTAAACAAAAATTTTCCGAAATGAAAATTTTTAAAAATCAAAAGTTGTGCTGAATTGTGATACCTGAGTACAAAGAAAAAGTCTTAATAAACTTTTCCCTAAAATTAATATTATCCATGGAAATTCATGTTTTTTGAAATTTTTTTTAAACAAAAATTTTCCGAAATGAAAATTTTCATAAATTTAAAGTTGTGCTGAATTGTGCTACCTGAGCACAACGAAAAAGTCTTAATAAACTTTTCCCTAAAATTAATATTTTCCATGGAAATTCATGTTTTTTGAAATTTTTTGTAAACAAAAATTTTCCGAAATGAAAATTTTTAAAAAATCAAAAGTTGTGCATTGAAGTCAATGGAGTGAATCAGTTTTTTTAACATAACTTTTGAAAAATTAATTTTTGAACCCAAGTGTAATTGTAAAATATTTTTTATTTATCGAGATTTATTTTTTAAATTAATAAAATCAAAAAATTAATTTTTATTATTTTAAAAAATAGATCTCGATAAATAAAAAATATTTTACAATTACACTTGGTTACAAAAATTAATTTTTCAAAAGTTATGTTAAAAAAACTGATTCGCTCCATTGACTTCAATGCATTGCATGTCTTCCGAGAAGCCGCCATTTTGAAAAGTGACGTCACGCTATGTCACAAGTTGGACTGCCTTATTGTTATAATTAACTGGTCCACCACAATTCTTGAACAGAGTAAATATATAATTGAGGTTATGGTTTGATATTATTCCTGTGCAAAATTTCAGCAATTGGCAATAATGTGGCATTTCTTATTGAATATTTTTAAATTCAATTGTTTGGGAATTATTATCAGTTTATTCTAAATTTATGCACTGGAAAAAAATAAAAATTCATGTTTTTGAAATTTTTTTTAAACAAAAATTTTCCGAAATTAAAATTTTTAAAAATCAAAAGTTGTGCTGAATTGTGCTACCTGAGTACAACGAAAAAGTCATAATAAACTTTTCCCTAAAATTAATATTTTCCATGGAAATTCATGTTTTTTGAAATTTTTCTTAAACAAAAATTTTCCGAAATGAAAATTTTTAAAAATCAAAAGTTGTGCTGAATTGTGATACCTGAGTACAAAGAAAAAGTCTTAATAAACTTTTCCCTAAAATTAATATTATCCATGGAAATTCATGTTTTTTGAAATTTTTTTTAAACAAAAATTTTCCGAAATGAAAATTTTCATAAATTTAAAGTTGTGCTGAATTGTGCTACCTGAGCACAACGAAAAAGTCTTAATAAACTTTTCCCTAAAATTAATATTTTCCATGGAAAATTATGTTTTTTAAAATTCTTTTTTAGCAATATATTTCAAAAATGAAAATTTTTAAAAATCAAAAGTTGTGCTGCATTATGCTACCTGAGCACAACGAAAAAGTCATGTTCATGAAAAAGTCAATTCATGTTTTTTGAAATTTTTTTTAAACAAAAATTTTCAAAAATGAAATTTTTAAAAAATCAAAAGTTGTGCTGAATTGTGCTACCTGAGTACAAAGAAAAAGTCTTAATAAACTTTTCCCTAAAATTAATATTTTCCATGGAAATTCATGTTTTTTGAAATTTTTTGTAAACAAAAATAATATTTTTGATAAATTGAAAGTTGTGCTGACTTGTGCTATCCGAGCACAGTAACACTTTTCCCTAATGTTCATTTTTCCATTGTCCTGAAAATGAAAGATTATACATAACTGTTGACGGTTAATTCATATCAATTTACGTTTCGAACTTACACCAAAAAAAATAAATTCTTAATTTTAGAGGATCCCTCTTCTTTTGACGCATTTTTTTCTTTTATATAAGGGCACTAAAGTATTAACATCTATTTGAGAGGATTTTCCTCTTGTATATTTTGAGAGGAATAATCTCAAATAAAGAGATAATCATCTTGTTTCAATCCTACGTCAAGTTCAGAAATGTCAATCTTCTTTATTTAATTAGAAGAAATTATATGGGTTAGTTTACCCTTTAGAACTTGGATTTATTTATTTATAGGAAAAGAAATCATTTTAGAGAACGAAACATGGCAAAAACACGAGTTTCGATATAATAAAAATACTAAAAAATTTTAGTTTATGAAAAATAATTTAAACTTAGGTTAATTTTAAAGTAAAATAATGAATAGTTTGCAAGTGAAAAAGTTTATGAATTACTTAGATAATAATTTTTATTTACTTCCTTCAAAAAAATCGAAAAACTAATTTATAAACATTCCTACAAATAAAAATATGGAAAAGAAAAAATCATTCTTATTTTTATTTATATAAAAATGAATATATTTTTAAAATAATATTTATAGATTATGATGCTGAAAAAATTTAATTTTAAATGGAATATTACAAAATTCTAATCATAGAAAGAATAGGGGTTCAACACATTGACATTAATTTATTGTAATAACATTATTAATTGTAAGTAATTAATATTATTTTCAAAATTACAGATGTAATTTGTTAGTCACATTTCATATAGAAGGTTTCTTAGTGCGATGTCCATTATTTATTTTTTAACGGTCAGTTTTCGAACAGTTTGTAGGTGTGCGTAAAAAAACAAAAAAATATATTTCTAGAGGAATAATCTCAATTATAGAAAAAAAATCTCAAGTGGAAAAGAATACTTTCAATCGAAAAAGAAAGATTAAAAGTAATCATCTAACCAAAATGTTCTTAAATAAAAAAAAAATAATCCTCTATTTTTTAGATGAATATTCATATATTGAAAATAAAATGTAAAAGTAAATGTTGAGAGTAATTTTCTTCTCATTTTAAGATTTTATTTTTTTCGATGTGAAGTATTTTCTACGTTTGACATTTTTCCGTGTTTGTCCGGAAAAGGACAGATTGTGCTGAACGGCTGATGCATATTATTCAAGTTACGAACTTAAAGTATTTTCTACGTTTCATATTTTTTCGATGTTTGTCCTGAAAAGGACAGATTGTATTGAACGGCAGACAGTTGATGCATATTAGTCAGGTTTCGAACTTAAACGAACCTGAAGTAGGCAACGTTTATATAAACGATTTTTAAAGAAATAATTTTTTTAAACGAAAAATTTTATAATTTTTTGCCTAAAAAATATTTCTTGTAGTTTTCGTTAACCAACAAATTATAAAAAAATATTTTTTGGGCAAAAAATTATAGAATTTTTAATTTAAAAAAAAAATTTCTTTAAAAATCGTTTATATAAACGTTGCGTACTTCAACTTCGTGAACTTAAAGTATTTTCTACGTTTGACAATTTTATCGGTGCCGTTCAGTACAATCTGTCCATTTCAGGACAAACACCGAAACAATGTCAAACGTAGAAAATACTTTAAGTTCGTAACCTGAATAATATGCATCAGCCGTTCAGCACAATCTGTCCTTTTCAGGACAAACACGGAAAAAATGTCAAACGTAGACAATACTTTAAGTTTGTTATGTATAATCTGTCCTTTTCAGGATAATGGAAAAATGAACTGTAGGGATAAGTGTTACTGTGCTCGGATAGCACAATTCAGCACAACTTTAAATTTATGAAAATTTTTATTATTGAAAATTAAAAAAAAAAAATTCAAAAAACATGAATTTCCATGGAAAATATGAATTTTAGGGAAAAGTTTATTCAGACTTTTTCGTTGTGCATAGGTAGCACAATTCAGCACAACTTTTGATTTTTAAAAATTTTCATTTTTGATTTTTTTTATAAAAATTTTTTTTTTTTAATTTAGTAAACATAATTTTCCATGGAAAATATTAATTTTAGGGAAAAGTTTATTAAGACTTTTTCGTTGTGCTCAGGTAGCACAATTCAGCACAACTTTAAATTTATGAAAATTTTTATTTTTGAAAATCTTTGAATTGCAAAAATTTAATTTTAAAAAAATTTTTTTTTTTTTAATTTTTGAAAAAAATTTTTTTTTTATCACAATATTCTGTGGTGTTTGATGTGTTCAGCACAACTTTCATTTTTTATTTTTAACCAAATGGCGTTTTTGTGAAAAAAAATTTTTTTTTGAAATTTTTGCCAAAAAAATTTTTTTTTCGGCACAGTTGAGCACAAACCTAGCACAATTCAGCACAAGTTTTATTTTTTTGAAAAAACAAAATGGCGTTGCCAACTTCTTGGACATGAAAAAGTAGGATAAAAATTTTTTTGGTGGATATTTTTAAAAATATTTTTCTCATTTTTTAGAGATTAATCTGTTAAACAAGCCTACCGAATTTTATCCAAATCCATTTAAACCTGCTAAAGATATCGTGTTTACAAAAACGCTCCATAAATACACACACACACACACATACATCCGGACAATTGATCAGGATCTCATATAACATGTTTCTATATAAAGGAAAATTTGTTTTTATCATATTCAAAAATTTTATTAACGACAGGACTACAACGCTTCCTCTACGAGGAAGAAAAACATAAAAAGAACCAAATTTAAAAAAATAATCAAAAAAAAGTTTGATTTTCCAAAAAAGAGTCAAAATTTTAATTTTTTGAAAAAAACTTTTGCACCATTCAAAAGAGTATTTCTTAATCAAGAATGCTTATATTTGAAGTTTAAGTAAATGTCCAGGTATATGTGTGTATGTCACAAAATCTTGTATTTAAAAAATTTTTTTTCCGTATTTCTTGAAATACCTTTTTTCATGAAAATTTATAATGAATTTTCATTATAATGAGAATAATAAATTAGTAATAGAAAAAAATTAAGTTAGATCAATAAGAAATTAAATAATATTGTATTAAACAAAAATAAATATTTGTTCTACAGGCGCTTACTGAAACTACTAAAGGAGCATGAACGTGATATGAAGAAAGAAGATGGAATTATTCCTAATTTACAAAAGGAAGAAGCAGGAAATATATATCAAAATGCTGCAGACGAAAGCAATGGTACGGTAAGTACAGAAAATACACTCTTCTATGATTTAAATAATGGAAAAAATGAAAATGAACAAAATGTTTTTTATAAAATCGACGATGATACAATCGCGTTTGACGTCGGTTCAGAGTTTGGTCCTGATTTTGTGTGTAATTCCGAAGATTTTGATATTCAACTAAATTTAAACTCCGGCAAGGAAAAGGGGGAAAGTATCGTTTTTTCAAATAATTTAAACGCGTTTAAACATTACGAATTAAATAAATCTGTATTTAATATTTACAAGGAAGAAGAAGAAAATAAATTTAGTGAAAATTTTATGAGCTTAGGACCTCGCGTTGTCCATATTGGACATGTTCTAAATGAAATTATGAAAAAAACAGATCGCGAAAATCATCACAAAGAAAATTGTATAAATGGACACTGGTCTCTTCTCGATTTCAGCGACAAAGGAGACATAACTAAAATATATTTACAGTGTAATAGTTGTTTGGAAGTATTAAGTTTTAATACTCATCCAGAAGATGACAATTATATTCATCCAAATTATAGTTTTACATCTGGTGTTCTGGTTGCTGGTACTCCATATTGGAACGCTAAAGAAATTCGTGCTGCTCAAGGATTAAAGTGTATTAGCGCAAAGACTTTTAGAAAATATCAAGATAAAATTTTCATGGACAGTTATGGAGTAAGTAGGGAAATTTTGTCAGAGTCTGCGAAAAAAGAATTTAACATAGCAATGGAAAAAAAACACGTTGTTAAAGGTATTCCTTGCATAACTGTAAAAACAGATTGTTCATGGAGTAAACGATCTTATGGTAGATCGTACAACGCTTCAGCAGCTAGTGCAGTTATTACGGGAAATGAAACTAGAGAAGTAATTGATCTAATTATAAGGATAAAAGTATGTTCAACTTGTGAAAAGGCAGAGAAAGAAGAACGAGAACCAAATCCGCACATTTGCGTTAGAAATTTTGAAAAGAATAAAAGCTCCAGCAGCATGGAACCAGACGCAATAGTAGAGGCTTTCAAAACCAGCGTAGAAAAATATGGATTAATATATAAAAATTTCGTTGGCGATGGTGACAGTAGTGTTCACAACGCAATTCTAAAAGCAGACCCTTACAAAGAATATGGCATTAAAGTTAAAAAATATGAATGCGTAAATCATTTGAAGAAAAACACATATATAAGATTAGCAGATATGACAAAAACGCGACTTCCAAATGAAGTATCTGGAGATGGATGCTTGCAAGCTCGGCAACATTTAAAACGCTGTAGTGTTTCTATTGTAGATGAAATAATGGAAGCAGCTACAAGAAGACGAGAGCAAAATATTTCTAAAAAGGAAAAGAATGAACTTTTGTTTAAAGACATAGAGAATGCCGTGTGGCACTGTTATGGAGAACACAAGCATTGTTTGGAACGAAATTGGCCGTGTAAAGGAATAGCAACTTTAGGTGAAGAAAATCTTGGTCATCTGTTAGAGAATAAAATTCTACCGAACATTATGTCAGAATTAGAAAGAATGTCAAGTAATGTAGAAAGTTTAATAAAAAATGCAACCACCAATGATTGCGAATGTTTCAACAATCACATTTGTAAAGGTATAGCTGGCAAAAGAGTTTCCTTCAATAAAGCCCGAGGATATGCAACGCGAGTACAACTCCAAATAATGCAAGCAAACAAAAAAGGAGCACTGTCAACTTTATATAAAGGAATTAATAAAAATGTACCTGAAGTTATTACAACAATGGAAGAGAGTCGTCAACTTCAAATAGAAAGAAACAGGATCAACAACAACGGTAAACGAATGTTTGACACGCGGGATGCCGAAAAAGATAAACATTATGGAAAAAATGCAATGAAAGTAGACATCTCTGAAAGCATTATGGAATTACGAAAACAAGCGCACTTGAATAAATTAAAAGAAAATCAAAATAAACGGGAAATTATTTTTGAGGAGACAATTTTGCAACGTGATAGTAAATTATGGCACGATACAAGGAAAGGAATGATAACTGCATCACATATGGGCGATATTTGTAATATGGCAGAAACCACATTTTGTCATGCAATAGTCAAAAGAATTGTACATCCAGATAAAATTGCATATTCAAGTAATGCACAAGCAGCAATGGAATATGGAATTGAACACGAAAAAGATGCTGTAAATGAATTAAAGAGGGCTTTAAATATTCAAATTAAACCAAGTGGTTTATGTATTGATCCTGAACAAGAAATTTTTGCAGCTTCTCCAGATGGCCTTGTTGACATTTCTCTGTCAAACATTGACGTTTCAGAAAATATTATACAACGAGTAACATCAGCAAAATTATATGACATTGTTCCAGGTGGAATAGTAGAAGTGAAATGTCCAAAATCAGCAAGTGAAACAACAATTGAGGAAGCGTTTAATATGCCAATAACAAAAAGACTTAGATCTGTTTACGATAAAAACAATGTTAATCATATGAACACTAAGCACAAATATTATTTTCAAATACAGGGACAACTTCACGTAACTAGGCGTGAATTCTGCATATTTGCAATGTGGTCAAAAAAAAATATAAAAATAGTTATAGTTTTACGCGATGACCTTTTTTGGAAAAATCAAATGGAATTCAAACTCTCCAGATTCTTCAAGGAATGCGTACTTCCAGAAGTTGTTGATAGTCGCTTGAACAGACTTATGAAAATACGAGAACCGGATTATATACTTGAAGCTAAAGGCATAAAAGTAAATAAAATTGAAGTAGATGATACAATTGACGAAACAGAAGAGAATAATAGAGGAATGGTCATTGATGTTGAAACTAATGAACATCATGATTTAAAAAACAACGATGACAACGACATTGAAATAGTGGCATATATTAAACCACCAACGGATCAACCATTAAAAAGATTGTCGACAAAGATTGCTGATTCAATTCCTTTACCCGAATTTAAGCATTTGATTGAAGATGACAACCGATTGGACCAATTTTGCATCAATAGACTATTGAAATTATGCCGAGAACAGACGCCGTACGACTTACTAAATGTAGACTATTTACTATATCCAGAACATATACCACCGTTTGAGATCACAGAGGACTGGGAATGGGATGCCCAAATCATAGGAGGAAACACGTCAGATCATTGGCGTTGCATTTACTTCGATGGAGAATATTTACATATATTTGACAGTTTATTTACAAAAGAATTCAAAGATTTACCAGAAGAAGAGAAAACTTACATAAGAAAACGATACCCATTTTTACAAGAGAAAAATATTGTAAGAGGAGACGTGACTGAACAACCGGATGGCGTTGCTTGTGGAATTTATGCAGCAGCAAATTTAATCACAATACTCGCAGGAAGAAATCCATACAACGTAAGAAATTCCTCAAACGCCAAACAAATGAGATTACACTATTTAAAAATATTAGAAACAGAAATCATAACGACATTTCCGGAACAAGAATAAATAAAAAAACAAGAATAACAAAAAAATTTAATGTACATTAGCTTTGGTTAGACATTCATCGGAATCTTATCGTTGGATATACATTTTGAAGAGGACACATAAATAATAAAAAAATCAAGATACTACTGCAAAATCATCATCACCATCATCATGTTGATCGATAAAATTATGTATATGTGATGAGGTAAGCATAATTATTCTTCTCGAAAAAGATGTGTATTGAGTTCCTTAATAGTAAAAGAAATAAAGTGGTATGTTTTCCGCAATGTGATTTCAATCGAAAGCAACTGAATTTCACCAATCAAACTCATCACATAATACTACAAGAAATAAAATCAAGAACAATCAGCGAAATATCAACGTGGGACATAAATTTAGAAGAGGACACACAACAATAATAATAAAGAAAGCAAGATGTTCCTGTATAATCATCATCATCATGTTCACCGCAAAAAAAGGATTCATCGGTAATAGACACAAGAACAGGATTCTGTAAAAAATCATCGTGGGACATTTTTTTTTGAAAACGGAGTATTTACAAGAGGAATAAAGAAATTAATATCATCATGCGTCATTCACATGGTAAGCATATCACTAAATTTGTTATACCACAAGTAACTCTGTGCCATTATCTTTTTCTAGAAGAATAATAGTCATACCATAAAATTATGTTTATGACTGGGTTTGTGGTGAGGCGGGCAAAATTATTCTTCTCGAAAAAGATGTGTATTGAGTTCCTTAATAGTAAAAGAAATAAAGTGGTATGTTTTCCGCAATGTGATTTCAATCGAAAGCAACTGAATTTCACCAATCCAACTCATCACATAATACTACAAGAAATAAAATCAAGAACAATCAGCGAAATATCAACGTGGGACATAAATTTAGAAGAGGACACACAACAATAATAATATAGAAAGCAAGATGTTCATGTATAATCATCATCATCATGTTCACCGCAAAAAAAGGATTCATCGGTAATAGACACAAGAACAGGATTCTGTAAAAAATCATCGTGGGACATATTTTTTTGAAAAACAAGTATTTACAAGAGGAATCAAGAAATTAATATCATCATGCGTCATTCACATGGTAAGCATATCACTAAATTTGTTATACCACGAGTAACTCTGTGCCATTATCTTTTTCTAGAAGAATAATAGTCATACCATAAAATTATGTTTATGACTGGGTTTGTGGTGAGGTGGGCAAAATTATTCTTCTCGAAAAAGATGTGTATTGAGTTCCTTAATAGTAAAAGAAATAAAGTGGTATGTTTTCCGCAATGTGATTTCAATCGAAAGCAACTGAATTTCACCAATCAAACTCATCACATAATACTACAAGAAATAAAATCAAGAACAATCAGCGAAATATCAACGTGGGACATAAATTTAGAAGAGGACACACAACAATAATAATATAGAAAGCAAGATGTTCATGTATAATCATCATCATCATGTTCACCGCAAAAAAAGGATTCATCGGTAATAGACACAAGAACAGGATTCTGTAAAAAATCATCGTGGGACATATTTTTTT